TTCTGTGCCAGCTCAGTCAAATCTTTATAAAAAAAACATATTATATGTGGAAGGAGGAAACTATGAATTATTTAAAGATTCGTGCTGTGTTTGAGATTTTTAAGTTGGTATTTACAGACAAAAAAATGTCATCAAATTAATTGTAATATTAGCAAACATAACTAAGGTAAATACAAAATACAGTTTTCAAATGATGATCGACTTTATTAGTAATTTATTAGTAATTTAAATTTAAAGTAAAAGCCCCCTGAATGAAATAAGTCATTGTGTCACCCTTGACAACTGCAACTGCTAATGAGTCTTTAAAATCTCACAGCGATGCCGCATTGGAGGTGGTGAAGGTTAAACCAAAGCATCTCCATCCGATTTAAGTCCAAAACCATCAGTTTGTTGAGTCATTCAGACGGGGAGTTGTGTGTTTCAGATATACATAATCCAAGTTCCTTTTAGTTTCAGAGCATGAACTGGTGGTCGGACAGAGAGCAGTTGTGGCAAGTCCTCAAGATCCTGAAGCAGCAAAGCAGCTCGCCAGACCACCACACGACCACCACCATGTTTGACTGTTGGTATGATGTTCTTGTTATGAAGTGCCGCAGTAGTTTTATGCCAGATAACGGAACTCAAACCTTCTAAAAAGTAAAACTTTTGTCTAAACAGTCCACAGAGTATTTTCCCAAACATATTGGGGATCATCATCGTCTCTTTCTTATGCTGAATCATGAACTCTGCAGTTCTTGTGACCTCCTGATTCAACAGTAGGCTGCCTGCTCCTGGAAACTTTCACCACTGTTTCAGATTTCTCCAGTTTTGGATAATGGTTCTCGTCATGGTTCGTTGGAGTCCCAGAACCTTAGAAATGATTTTGATAGATGTGAGTTTGCTTCTCTGCTATTCTTGAGATCGTAGGACTATGAATTGCTTTTTGAGATTGTTTAGCCCGCTTTACTTTGTCAGAAAGGTTCTATTTAAGTGACTTCTCAATTCAACAGGTCTGGCAGTGATGAGGCCTGGGTGTACCTATTGAAATTAAACCCAGCTTTGCAAAATATGTGGATAATCACAGTTAGTTCATGATTTAACAATGGCAGCAATTAATTTTTCACACAGAGTCGGGTAGGTTTGAAGAGACTTTTTTCCCTTAATAAATTAAATTATCATTTCAAACATGTATTTTTGTGTTAACTCAGCTTACCTTTGTCTAAAAATGAAATTTATTTGACGATCTAAAACATTTAAGTGCGAAGAAATCAGGAAGAGGGCAAATATCTTTTCATGTACCGGTATGTGTTCAGGTCGTGGCTTATGATACAATATATAATGTACCAAGTCAAACATCTGGGTCCATTCAAGAGAGAAGCTGAAAGTATATTATGTCCCATAATGTTTTTTTTACTCAAGCCGTAACCTCCAGGGCTGAAAAACGAATCCAATACTCTTAGTTAAAAAAAGCTCGCTATCTAGCTGGAAATTAAGCATGATCATTTGTGGCCCTAAATAACAAAACAGTCACAGCTAAAATTCTCTAAGCTGTTTGAAAATGGTAGTAGGTGGGTTTAAATACATCCATCTACTATATACAGTCTATGTTTTTACCGTCGCAGAAGAAACAGGTCCAATTCTGTACTGAGAGAGAGTGCAGCATTTAGTTGCTTCAGCATTTAACGTTGGAATTACGGACAATTACAAACTTTAGAGCATTTTCCTTTTTTGAAAATAAGTTGATGCTTTCACTGTGTGTATCCAGCTGTGTCTCTCAAACCAGAGTTCATGCAAAACCGTGAATTCTGTGCACCCCTGTGCCCCTATTTTGCCGACAGACACACCAGCTGAGAATTGGCCACACAGGTGCAAATTTCATATTCATACAGGCACACAGAACACACTTAACACAGGCAGCAGAGATATGCATTTACAAAAAGGCACACTGAGGAATGATATTAAAACCCACCACCCACACACCAAGCCAGTATACATGTGTGCTGCTCAGGTCTGCCATCTTTTACAGCCTGATAGTGTAGCAGCCAGGGGGTCTCGGTGTCTCTCGCTGGCGCTATCTCTCTCTACTTTCTCTCTAACCTCGATCATCCCAGACGTTCTCTTTGCATGCTGAGCAGCCAGGGAGTGCGGAGGGTCTCTGCTGCCCCCTGATGGCTGTACGAGGCAAAGTCTGTATCTTAATGTGAAGGAAAGCGCAGCGGTCTCTGTGGGAGTGGTGCATGTCTGTGACTGTGTGTGTGTTTGTGCGGTACACGAGTGTGGAAACCAAGCACAACCCCCGAACAGAACAAGGTTGCAATGTTCATCTCGTACGCTGTCAGGTCGAAGGGATAGAGAATGTGAAGCAGGTTGTGTGTTTGTGTGTGTGTGTTTGTGCCAAACAAGGATGTGCAGGTGTTGGTGGGTAACAACCTCCCCAGAGACAGGAAAAGCAGGTAAAGAGGAGATGGAGGAGAAGGGGAGATTAAAAGGGGGACTGTTTTAGCTCGTCTCTGAGGACAAAGATCATCTCCATTAGTCTTTTGTGTGTGTTTGTGTGTGTTTTCCCACTCAAGGTCTACACCAAGCTGGCAAAACCTGTAGTATTATGCTGCCGATTGCATCCGTAAAAGACTACCTCTAAATACAAAATGCTCTAAATACAAAAGGGTTTTTGTCTGTTTTACCCCACATGTCCTTGTATGGAAGCCAGGCTGTATCTGACACACAAAGGCAACAGTGTAGCCAAGCTTGCAACACCTGTCTTCATTTCTTTTGTATCAGGTTTTTTGGTGAGAGTAACAAGTTCAATAAGATGTTTTGGGTCATTGTTGTTTGGACTCTAATTTACACTTTTGATATTTGCTGGACTTTTTTAAATTCTGAAATAATTTTGGACTAAACGTAGCAAAACAAACTTGTGGTATGAACCCAGCATTGTTCATTTTGACTTCACTTTTTTGCAGGGTGGTGAAATTTGGGTATTTTTTGTTTTGTTTTGTCAGATGTCAGAAAATACCCTCGAAATAAGCGCAGAGGTATCAACCATACAGCCAGTGGGCTGGAACCATCCAGCCAAACATCTGGCCCATTAGAGAAGGCTGTCAGTCTCGCCCCAGCCTGAGGTCTAGAGCTCTTCACAGCCACGCTAACATGTTTTCAAGTAGGAGCTGGTGTCATTCAAAGCAATATTTGGGACTCAGGGTTTGACACACGTTCAACACCCATATGGAAAAGATTAGTATAAATTAGATATGTTGTAAAATGCACATTGGTTGTGCATGTTTTCAAGTATGTTCTAGCATGTATACATGCTAGAGGGTATGAATCTTTGTGAAATTATGATTTATGATGTATTTAAAATTGCTGTGGCTTGCTGCTGTCCAACTTTAGATCTGTGATGTGGTATTTCACAGTCACACCTTGCCTCCCAGTAATGCCATCACTGTCTTTTCTTTGAACGTGTCTGGAAAAACACTCTGGACCCAGACTGTTTATACATTTGAAAACTAAGTTAAGAAAAGACAAATGAATAAATCTCTCAAAACTAAGTAAATTATATTTCTTTAAAATGTGACAAGGATGCCACCAAACAGGCTTTCTATCCATTGTTTTCAGAGTTTGGTTGTATAAAGATGTCAAATGCCTAATTATAGATAGCAAAGCTCAAACTGTCATACAGTATAAAAAATTAGACAATATCATTGAATACATAGAAACTGAGCTGTGGAAGTGGGCATACTTGCTGCTGTCATGCTGGCAAAGACCCACACAGGCACACCAGTTCCACACAGAAAGGTGTGTCTTGTCTCCTAACCACTCAACCAACTACGTCACCCAACTTTGCACCACCTAGGTTTTCCATGTTGACTCGCATCCAAGTACTAACCAGCTCACCAGCTCACCCGACCATAACCTGCAAGACAAAACTCTGTGTTTGCATCTTTGTTTATCAATGTGCACATTTGAAAATGCAGATTCTTTAGCCTCCACCAGGGGGCAGCACTCTTAGCAAATTCCTATGCACAAAGAAAGCGCTACAAACAACAAGTAAAGTGATGAATCCAAGGAGCAGGTGTTCTTTATAATGACAGAAAATGAACTGAATGTAGAAAAGCTGGGACCTATTGCTGCTTTTGCATCTCTTATTCTGTTGTTACTGATCTTTGTAAGCGGATAGTTTATTAAATATATGTACCTATGTCCTTATTTACATCAAAAAAGGACACATTTTAGATTTTCTCTTTTTAAGATGGTATGTGGCTTTGCTTGAAATGTGGCTCAAGTGGCTTGACCTACTTGGGATGAGCTAAATGAGTTTGGCACCCCAGATAACAAATAGTTAATATCTATCCACCCCGAAGATCATTTCCTGAGAAGGTTTTCTATAGATTTTCTATTTTCTAAAATAAAATCTGGATTTTATTTTTGTCCTAAGGTGTCAATGACAGCTCGAGCGCCACAGCTCCCCACAGCGAAAGCTTTGATTAATCGTTCAGTGTTTGATTTCACACACTGATACCAGCGCCGCACCACAAGATGGATGTATCATGACCGAATTGCATCATGCTTTAATTATAGTCCCTGCAGTAACTGTTCTTACATTCCATTATTTCCTGAGTGTCTTCCCTATTAATCTCCTGATATCAGAAGCTTGTAAGAGAAAACACAAGGAGCCCAACCTGACCAATCGCACTACTTGACGTTTTCATCTGGTTGCTTTCAGCACTTCACTGTGGCAGCTACATGTGTATGTTCTATACAGACACACAGCTTAACACACTATCTATAATGGCAGCATTAGTATGCCCACAGGCCTAGAACAAAGAGAAGATTATGCATTTTTATGCCGCTAACCGCAAACCCCATCAGTCATGTTCATCTGAACAGCTACAGCTAAGGAAAAAATAAAGTCACCACACTGTCACAGAAATGCGGCGTTCCACCACAATGTCTTTATCAAACACTCGGTGACGTTTCAATTAGAAATGCTAAAAATAATGAACCTGTCACTCCGTGCACAGGAATGACTCGCTTTCTCTCTCACTTTCCCCCCACTCTTGTGCGTTTGTGCGTCTGTGTGTGCGTGATCTCAGCTGTCACTCGGGTTTTAGGGGCCCCCATTGTGACATCAAGGAGTACAACGTCCTCTATGTGGTGCCAGGCTCCGGCAAACTGCACTATGTCCTCATCGCCTCTATCATCGGAGCACTCCAGGTGGTCATCATCTGTGTGGTGGTGCTCTGCATTACCAGGTGAGTCATGCTCGAACACACACACATATACAAAAACAGCCTACTAATGAGCCTGGGAGCAGTGTTTTCCATGTTGTGTGTATCTGGGAGTTACAGACTCCTGAGCATGTAGGCAACAGCTGAAAGGTCACCGAGGTTTTGGGCACACATAGAAAGTACTGTCACGTTCTCAGGGGGCACACACACACACACATATCTGAAAACCTGCAGGTGTGTATGCAAGCACAGAAACCCACACATATCTGTATAGTCCAGCATGCACACACACACACAGACACTTGTGTTTTAACATAAGCATTTTGTATTCACTATAAAAACCCACCCACACTCAGAGCCACAAACACACACATTCACATATAGCCTGCAGCTTGTCTGCCTCTGGCTGACCTAAGCAATTTATGACATTTAATAAAAGATTTTAAAGGAGTTTTGACCGAGACAAAACTGCTCCTCCGAGCAAAGGAGGGAGGAGGAGGAGGGGCGAAATGAGAAAGTAGAGCAGGGTGAGAGGGTAAGGAGAGGAGATAAAGAAGCAAAGAGAGAATTTATAACACGAAATACAGCGACAGCAACACTAATGTGTCCTGCAGCGTAGCGATATCCATTTAACACAAAAATATACTTGAAAATTCTTCTACGAGTCGAAAGGAATGAACTTCCAAGCGAATCGACGCAGGCGAGCGTTTCAGCGGTTACTGACTCGCTCCGTCTCTGTCAAGCCGATCGAATTTGCGCGTCATTTGTTGCGTTTTATGAATGTTGCTGGAGTTTTATGTGATTTCTGTTTGTTGTAAAGATTTGCCATTCAGTTAAAGGACAAACAGGGGGAAGTGGAAAAGGTCATCCCTATGCTTTGCCTCTTGTGTAAGAGATTTTGTGACATCTTGGAAAAGGTCTGTTCAAAAGGACTTCCCTGCAAAATACCATGTTTCCACCATTTTATTTTTATTATTCGTTACTTCTGTCTTATAAAATGAACAGAACAAACAAGGCTTTTATAACTTGAACTTCTTCTGTGGAGCCCAAGCCCTCTGGTTCCTATGAAATTGTTGGCAAAGACAATATTTTGTTTGATTTTTCAAAGATGAAGATGTTAGTCATTTCCTACAAATTCAGCATCTTATAAAATGCTATTTTCTGTTTCTGTTAAAAAAAGAAAATCATCTCTCTACAGATTGTCCTCTCATTTTCCCGCTACAAAAGTCTCAAACAGGTGTTCATCTGATTTGTTTTCAGATGCTTCTTTTGTTTTTGCATCAATAAGTTTTGCAAGCAACGCTGAGTATTGCTGAATAGCATGGCTATGTACTCAGAATCACACGGAGTGCTTTGGGTTGTTTGGCACCAGAACGTCAGGCACAGATCCTTTGGATGCTGTGGGGTTGCTGGGTGGGGCTTCCATGGATCGGTCTTTTTCTGGCAGTCTAATTGGGATCAGAGGTGCTTGAAAGTCCTTCCAATGCCCTGGGATCTTTGTTATGTTCCCCATTTGGAGGTGAATGCAGCATACATCAGTGTAGCTGCAGTCACACAATCAGACACAGCTGAAACAAATCGCAAAGAGGCTGCTCAGTCTCCAGTTGTCAGGGAATACATTTCTCCCTAGCAACCTGTGGTTGCCAGGGGGCCACTAACTGGTCCCTGGCGTGACTGGAGCTTTAACAAATTTCTCAGTGACTGCCAACAACCACTTGCCAATCGATCGCGGAATGCAAACCTTTCAGTAGGTGTGACTCTCCGGTCTCTCGGCCTGGTGGATGTGGCCTTTGGGGGTTGCACGAGTCAAAGAAGCAGGCACATGAATCCCAAACTCAGACTTATTAACAGTGAACCTGAACATATGCAACATAAAAGAAAGAAGCAGGCTCTAACTGTGATTTACAAATGTGTTTTTCTTCATACTTGTTTAAGGTTACAAATTAAGCTTTACTTTATTTTTAGTATTCTTTTTTTAATACTCAATTTGTTGGTGCTGTTACATTCTACACTGTAGTCATTTTTAAAAAAAGGTGATTTATACTCATTTTTCAGTCATGTTGCGTGTATCATGAATTCTTTTGGTCATTATAATCGTGTGCTAACATCTGTGTTCCTGACAGGTGATTTACATGAAAAAGGTTTGGGACCTCTGCTTTAAAGCATCTGCATGTATTAAAGCAGCAGTCTGCCATCCATGTTTCTCCCTTTAAAGTCTGAGTTATTAGATTAATATTAAAACAGTAATTCATCTTCTTCGTGATTTTGTGTTTCAGGAAGTGCCCACGGACCAACAGGATCAACCGGCAGAAGCAGAACAATGTCCACTTCAGTTCAGAGAATACCATGCGCGCCTCCACCCGACTGATCTGAGCCCAGACACACCAGACAGAGTCCCCCCTCCACGTTACGGAGCGCTGTGGCGTTAGATGTTTCTTCCCCGCCCCCAAGTAGGCCAACCCTGAAAATTAGCATCTGCTTCCCATCACTCTTCGCCCTCTCTCCCAGTATGAACTCAAAGAATGTCCATGGAGGATGGTGGCAAAGCAAAGACAGAGCTGGCACACAAGTGAGGTGACAATGATTACACATTGGAGAAATGCTGTCATCAGTCACCGCCGCCGCCAGCCCCCTACCCATGCCCATGTGTCTCCTTGCACCTTTTTCTGAAGGTTTTTCCTGAAAAAAACTAAACAAAACACGAACTATGAGGACTCGGGAGGGGGGGGTGCGGAGAATACTGAATGTGTGTGTGTGTGAATGTGTATTAGATGTGTGCACTTTGGTAGAGGTGGGCTAGCCGGTGTCTGTTCTTTGTAGATGAGGGGTACAAAGCAAATCGGGGTAGTGCAAAGCAGGGTATCTGGCTTTTAATGAGGTGTGTGTTCAGCCTGGGAGGGGGGTGGGGGGGTTTGGGGGCTACACGTGATGCCTTGCACCTTGTGTTATAGGAGACCTTTGACAGAGGGCACAATGTTATTATAGAGCTCTCTGTTCGGTTGTGACGATGACGTCAGCTACTGTATCTTGGGTTCTATTTCCAATAGTTATTACTACGTTGTCTTGATGGGGTAATTTTTCTGTAAATGTAAATAAATAATTTATATCACGAAATGTAACATATTCTGTGTCGGTCTTTGTCTGTTTTGAAGCAATGACATGTTGGTAGTGTTTATTAGTGTCATAATCATAATCTGTATCACCATCCATCCATTTTTCTCAGTGTTTTCCTGTTTCTCCAGGGGGATACTGAGGCACGGTGAGTTATTGGTTTACACCAGTGTCCCCCTTCCAGGTGGAAATGCCTGGAAAATCTCCAAGGAGAGAATGCCTGTGGCATCCTGACTGGATTTTGGAATCACCTCACCTGGCTCTTTACGACATGAAGCAACAGTCTAGTTCCACACCTACACATCACTCTTACCTTATTCAGACTTAGTTAAAATAGGCCAGTTTAAGTCAATTTTAAAGGATGGATTGGTCATACACATACTGCATATGATCTGGATCTCACTTTTTCTCATGTGACAGTTTCATTTGTGTGATTGTTTTGTGTCAATATGGGATGGATATAGGTGTACCCCACCTCTGGCCCTGTGGTAGCTGAAGTTGACTCTGCACACAGAGCTCATGGCCATCGGTGGAGGCTGGAACTTACATAATCTCAGAGATTGAAAGCCTTACTTTTTGTTTTAGCTGTTTCTTCATCACAATGATCCGAGTTACTGTTGACATCACACCAATCTGCTCAGTCAGGGAATCGGTATCATCAGGTAATCATCAGTCAGGTATCCTTCTATCCTTAACAGTGAATCCACCATTCTGAAGCATAAGACCAAAGCCACAGGAACTCAATCCAGCTGCTTCACACTCAGCTGTACCACATAGAAAAAGTGACACAAAAACCTGTGCTGTGATTGCAGTTCTATAGGATGAGTAAATAGTAATCTGCAGTAATGCAGATCTTGTGTTGGTTTGTTATGATGAACAGAAAGCTGAGCACGAAAGTGAAGCTGTAGCTTCACTATCAGATCAGCATTCTCACCCACATCTATGGCTGCACGTGCAGGGTAGTGACCAAACAAGTTGACAGGTTGAGGAGCTCAGTGTTTTGAGAGGGAGTCAGAGTAGACTACTCAACAGTGCAAGTTGAGGTGGTTCAATGCATCTGACTAGGATTACCTTCTGGACACCTCCCAGTTGAGCTGTTTTGGGCATCTCCAAATGGGTAAAGGTCCTGGGCTAGATCCAGGACGTGCTGGTGAGATTATGTCTCTCAGGTGGAGTTGGAGAAGGTGGCTGGACAAAGGAGGCCTGGGTATCTCTGTCCCCACAACCCAGACCAGGAGAAGCAACAGAGGATGGAAGGCTAAGTTGCCAGTTCATACTACTTTATATTGCAGGGTAAAGAGGTAAAAACTTTAATATTATGACAAATCTGAGCATGTGCCTGTCAAATGTGGGGAGGAGGAACTTCTTTTTAAGTTGACCTCTGAACTGAGCTCAGGGAGGAGCAGCTGTCCCTGAGGAGAAAGGGGGAAATGGCATAGAGAGATTTAGGGTCTGCATGATTTCTTTTGGTTTGGCTTCCTTGTATAAAAGCTTAGATTTTGTGAGTTATTGCCCTTCCATTATTCAGATGTCACTCAGATGACTGATAACGGTGGTTTTGATCGACTCATCAGAGGCTTATTCGTGCAAATCAGCTTGCAGTCATTATTCATCTGCCTCAAGCTTCCAGCAGAACATTGCTCACTAAGCAGCACTGTGATAGCAGGAAACATCAGAACTACAAGAAAGTGTCACAAGTCCGATTGTAATTCCAGACTGAAAGTTTCTAACTTGGTAGTGCACAGAACTCTGTAACACTGTGGAGACTACATCAGCTCTATCTAAAACACAAGCAGACAGATCAAAAATGAACACACCGACATCAATACATCAAACTCTGATGAGACAGAGAAAAAAGCCATCACACAGAATTAAAGAAAGATGGCAAAACACTGTGAAGTGCTGATGGGTGGAAGGATCTCTAAACTACCTTTCAAGAAAGTAATAAAGCCCTGAGGTGGGGTAAAATAAAATGCCTTTTCAGCATTAGGATAACTATAGAATGAAAACGGCGCTTTGCTTCTTAGAGCTGAACTCCCATGAGGGGAAGCAACCCTCTGCTTTGCATCTTTGTGAAGCAGGGAATTTAAAACCCCAAACACAGCTCAAAGCCAAATTTTAACATAAAGCCTTTTAATTTTTTTTTTACAGTTACACTATAAGTCATATTGGAATTATTTTGCATTGAATAAATTACATATCTATGACTTTCATAAAATTTTATTCCACGCTATATCTGGTATTATAAACTAATTAAAAAGTTTATTATTTTTTTATTAAGTGAAAACTAGATGATCACAAAGTCAGTTAAACTTCAGGAATATCAGTCTGCTCAGTTAGGAATCAAAACATCTTTGTCTCTGGTGCAGAGTGCCAAGTGTGCCCTTCAGTTTTTTGAGGAGGGTATTAATTTACTAAATTACTCTAAAATCTGAGTTTTAATTAAACGCATATGGTAAGAAGGAGAGTAGTAAATTAGGCTCCACCCACCTTATCCAGCCACAACAGTAGTACTATACAGTGCTACATCAGCTACTGACACATGAACATAATTACTGATGGTGTTAATTACTCTTACATGAGTTCCTTTCTGCACTGAATGCTTTTACTTTTGATACGCCAACATTATATTAATATACACTTATAATGAATTCAGTGCGAGTTTGCTCAGCTGTTGTTGTTGGGATTTTTTTCACCTGATTCCTAAAACTAAACTATAAACTAAAACTAGGAGAGAAAAAATATTTTTGTTACTTTTTGTTACTGTGAATATATAAATATGTATTAAGTGTAATTATTATTTATTTATTTATTTTAGTTGTGGTCAGTTTGATCAGAAACTTGGTGAATCTGCTTACTGAGGAGATGACTTTGTTTCACGTGTTGTTGTATTATTGTAAAATTCTGATCTTCTCCATTTTTTTCCATTGAATCACCAATTAGATAATAAAGGACGAAAATAAACCTTGAGTTAAAACGGGCACTTTTTAAAAACTGTTTTAACAGTAACAGGTAACCACAGTGCAACAGGTGTCAGCCGCCACCAGATGGCGCTGCATTCACCGGAACTTGACCTCAGCATGCGCCTCTTCTGTACACAGCCGCGTCACAGATGCGGTAACATCACTGAGAAAGTGTGTGTTTGACGAGCTGTGCTAAAAAGTGGAATCACGGACTCATCAGAACTCATTTCTCATATCGAAAGTGTTTGTGTAGTTGTCGTGGCCGAGTGGTTAAGGCGATGGACTAGAAATCCATTGGGGTCTCCCCGCGCAGGTTCGAATCCTGCCGACAACGAATTGATGTTTTTAAAAACCGGTAATAGGGACGTGAGGAAATCATTACTGCTTACTGGAACCGCTATGTTTCTCTGTCATTGTATCAATTTCACGGCACCTGTTTGACATTAAATAGTATAAAACACTGGCATTACTAATAACCTCATTGTAGGTGCTGTTCTATTTAAGCCCAGAGTTCCTAATAAATGTGATTAGTAACACCTGTCTTTATTTATGTCAAAACGTCTGCTGCATGGAAAAAGGTCTGTTCGAGGATTAAAGCTGATTTCCTTTGGACCTGACTCATCCAGTCACGATTAACGTGTAGCCTTCTTGTTGCCTGTACAGATGATTTAACTGTGTCCTCCATATTTGAGGCTTTTACAAGTTGGGGGGGGGGGTGTTGTTTGTTTTTGTTTTTTTACAGATATCTAATATGATAATAGGTTCTATGGGGTGACCATATTTTGATTTCCAAAGAAGAGGACACTTGGCCCAGTCATGATGAAATTTAATAATAATACTGTTTGCTTAAAGAAAACTTTAACATATTTAAACAATGCCTTCTCTGATGGTGAATGGTGAAATAAAATGTCATATAGGTTTTTCCAAGTCAACAAATGCAAAAAACAGAGGATGGTTGGTCACCCTATAAGTATTGATTAAACCACCGATTTTTTACAGAATGAGTTACAAAATTACTTTTTTTTTTCCTGTGGGGCTGTTGAAGGGCGAACTGTAGAATGCACACTTCTTGAGACTTCTTCCAGGCGCCACCTAGTGCATTAAGAACATCAAAGTCACATTATTATGGGAATCGGCAAAAGACTATCCCAAAAAAGGAAAAGTTAACAATCCTAGAATTCTGCTCTGGAAAATCCTGGGTCATTTTGATAGAACTAATAACTTTAAACAATTACATAACCTATGCAGAGTTTTTTATGGAATATTCAGGAAAGGATACATTTCATGTAGCAGTAATTATAAGTATACAAAGAACAACAACATCTAATAGCACTCACATTTCCCTCCATTTTCCCACTTGCAACAAACTTTACCTCTTTAAACCTATAAGGAAGGGCGAGCAAGGTTGCTGTTGTATCAGTATCTCATAATGGAAATTGTGTAGTGTCACAGTACACACTTTACCCTTCACCCTCACTGAAATTACAAAGTAAAAAGTCATGGTTTCTTGCAGTTCAGTCATTGGTACACCCACTTATGTGTCTGCACAGAACCTGGCAGGACCCAGTCAGTGTAATCCTGTCAGTTTCCTGTCTCCCCCTGCTGCTTTAGGCTCAGATCCAATGGGCTCTAGGCCAGGGAGGAGCAGGAAGGAAATCTTTGTGAATGTCTGAGTATCTGCTCTCAGCTGAGACCCTGGAGTCTGGCAAATGCTACAGCTGATAACAAGTTCGCCCTCCAATATTTACAATTCTTCTTGCTCTTGGCATTCACCTGTTGTTCGGTTACGCACAGATACAGTAAAAATAAAGAAACTATTTTCTTTAACCTGTGCTCTGTATTGCA